AGACTCAGTTTTGGCATAAGAGTCTTTTGAAATGAGACTTGTGAGAGAGCACACTAACACTTCACTATTCACAGCAGTTTATGGTAAATAATTCTATTTTGAACAGACCAGTTTTCATTTGGTATATAAATCAGAAGTGAAATCTGTGAGGATTCATGGAATCTGCCTTTGTTTTATTAACTAACTCATCAGAGTTAGTGAATATTTAGAATTCACAGACTGTGGATACCGTTGGTAGTTTGGGGATGCATGTGTGTGAGAACTCTGCCTTGTCTGTTTACTGGATATTAATTAATCCAAGAAGGCATCTTGGTGTTCTGAAGTTGCACACAAATGGAGACTTTCCTGACCAAGTTTTATATGGAAAGTATGGACAGTTATTCCTTCAGACCAACTCCGAAAAACAGCGAAAATCTAAGAAATAATTTTGCACTGTTGGTTAAGTTCTTGCTTTTTCTTGAAGTCACTTGGTTGTTTTTAGAATAACAGTCACTGAGCAGTGAAGTGGAAGAGGGAGGGGAGTCTCCACACAATGAATAACCCAGGGCATCTTTCTGCAGCTATATACCGTGCTCCGAGAGAATACATGTGGCAGTGACAGAAATGGCAGCCTTGTTCCCAAAAGTAAGTACCTGCCACCATCAGAATGGTTTCCTTGTGTGCAATTCCCCTTCAGAATGAAAATTAAAAATTATTTCACTTCAAAATGAAAACGGTAGGGAGAAATGATGGGGTTATGATGCACCTTTGTATTTATTAGCGTGGCAGCTGGTAAAGGCTGAAGTGTGACTCCAGGCCTTTAATTGTACTCTTGAATGTAAAACACTTAAGAATTGTACAAAACAGGAGGTGCTTGGATCTGGCATGAAGAGTTGTGTGGTTATATAGGAATTTCACCAGACTCATTACCCCCTTTGCCATCTGAGTTCCATCACCTGGATTTCTTTCCTGCAGCCACGTTTAGCTCTGTTATCCATCCATCAAAGTGATCTGTTTGCTCACAGCAAATTTAGGGAGTGAAATCCCCATGACCAAGTTCTTGTAAAGTCTTTACCCACCTCTCCAAAACTGCAAGGAAAGAACCAAAGCTGCTGTCCCGCCTGCACCCATCATCCTGGACATGCTGTCCCCTCCTGCGAGACAGGACATGGGCTGGGACAGTAAACAGCCACCAGAAATGAGCTTGAGTAACTTCCTAAGGGAGGGCACGGAGCAATATTCCCTGCCTGCTGCCTGGCAGCCCTTCGGGATCTCCCCGAGAGCAGAGGGAAATTCCCCCGGCTGCCACGAGGGGAATCGGGGCTTGGCCGCATCAAAGAACCCTTGTGAGCACTCCCGGCTAATTAAAAGGTTGTGTTGTTCTGCCTGTTCCAGCGTCTGTTTTCCCTTCCCAGAAGCCCAAGTCGGAGCTGGTGAGGACTTCCCTGCGCCTGCTGACATCCAGCGCCTACAGGCTGCAGTCGGAGTGCAGGAAGGCGCTGCCCGCCGAGCCCAGCCCCGCGCCCGACATCCAGCTGGTGACACAGCAGGTCATCCAGTGCGCCTACGACATCGCCAAGGCCGCCAAGCAGCTGGTCACCATCACAACCAAAGAGAACAACAACTGAGGCACTCGGGGCTTTTTACTCTGGGGTTTTTTTTTTAAAGGTTGGATTTCAACATATAGGTGTGGAACTATGCGCATTTTTAAGAGGAAAAAAAAACTTCAAGGGGCAAGAAACTTTTTTTTTTTTTTTAAACTCAGTATTATTTTTGCATGTTTTCTAACAATTTTATGATTAATTTAACCCACTGCCTTATTTTGTGCCTGTGTTGCCAGTGTAGTTATGGATAATAGCATGTTGCAAGTAGCTGTGGAGCCACTCTCATGTCCCGGCGCTGTACCGAGCTCTTGTAGACGTTTCCTTGGGGCCACGTTCTGCTTTCAGATCCTGCTGGTGGAACTGCTCTGACACCACTGCACGGATGGGAGAGCAGCATCTCCATCCCTCTGGAGCCTCCCCTGCTGGGATCCTGCTGGCTGAGGCTCCCCAGGCTCCAGGACTGCTCCCAGCAGGAAGAAGGTTTGTCCTGGTAACGGGGTACAAGCCCAACGTTCTCTGTTCCCATATCAACTGTTGTGCAATATGTTTTTTTTTTAGTCTGCTAAACCAGTAGTAGTTGTGGGCATCCAAGCTTGTTACGTGTAACTCTACAAGGTCTTTGTCACTTTATCTGTTTTGGAAGGAATTTGAAACTTAGTAGTTATTTCTTTTAGTTGTCACTATGCCATTAATATATATGTTTGATGTTATTTTAGGGCATTAGTGGTTAAAATATTATCCTTTGTTTCTGAGTTAGTAATTCATTGTTAAGTTTCCTGCAGAATTTTTCTGTCATCTTTGAGGCACCGTCTTGTTTGCAGCAGCATTTCTCAGTAACTCCAGATGCAATTTCACTAAAGATTTCTGTGCTTATTAGCAAAAAAAAAAGGAAGTTAGAAGAGTGCCAGTGCAAAAGCAGCTGTGTCTGCCACAGCACATAACCTCTGTACCTCAACATATCCAAATGTGAAAATATTTCTCGTATCTCCTAAGTTTTTTATGCAAATCTTTACAAATTTGACAACTTGCTGAGTAACCCCTGCCAGGCTGCCTGGCCCCAGTGGCCATGTGTGCTCCAGGTTTCTTCATCTATAACAGTTCACAGAAGTGTGTCAGTCCCTAATTTAAAAATTGAGAATATTTTTGGGAGTCTGAATTTTAGGTGGTGCAGGAAATCACTGATGTTTGCCTCTGTCCAATTTGGAAGTGTCTTGTCCCTGCCCAGGAGCCAGCCATGGTGTGTTTGTGTGGATATAAAAGTGCCATAGCACTGCTGGATTCCTGGTGCTGTCTGGTCACAGAGTCTGAGGGAGGGAAGGAATGGAGAGAGGAGATGACAGCCCAGTAAATTAATGTTCTTCATTGTGGTGTTTTATTTCCTTTCTGCCCTTCTGAACCCCAGAAGCAGCTCTAGCCAGACAGCAGAGGCAGGCTGGGATTAAAACTGCAAATGACCTTTGTGAAACCTACTTCAAAATCATGTAACTGGCAATTAATTAAATACATTGAGAATCTTCTCGGAACTTTTCCTTAAATAATGGTTGAAAGGCAGCAGATGGTATTTTTCAGTCTCCCAGGACACCACTGTGTGCTGTTCTTTAACATATCTTACCTGCTTTCCAAAGCAGGGTAACACTGAGCTATGGTGTATTTTACACTTATTTAAACCTGCCTTTGATACAAAACCAAGGGACACTTTAGTAACTGCCAGCCCCTGCTCCAGCTACACTGAAATCAGAGTGGTCCACACCCCACAGGAACCCCCAGCAGCAAGTTCATGAACCCTCCACTCACAGCACTGCAGTCACAGAGTTTGTAGCACCTCAAGTAACAAAAGTGTGTTTTTCTTTTAGGACTAGATCTCTTGTTCCCCTGTAAACAAACTTGCTCTTCCTTTACAAAATGCTGCAGAGGAAAGGAAAAGCTTTTTTTGCCTTTTTCCAAACCTTGTATTTATCAGTGTCATTCTGTCTGTACAATATTTTGACTTTTAATCTTTTGTTTACAGTATTACTATAAAATGCTAAAACCCTTTCAGTGTGTGAAATAATGTGGGCTTATTTGACTGCTGGTTCTCCGAAGATCTCTGGAAAAGTTTCTACTCTTGAGTCAAGTGCTGCCAGTCTTTGTAACAGCTCCTTGTGCACTGTGACAGGACTGGTGTCAAGCTGCAGTAGTGGATGGTAACAGCAAGGAATGAACTGCAATAATCAGCTCAATCTCCTCTCCTGTTGCTGCAGTGGTTTGCTCATGTAAGAAAACCAAATCCTTGTTCAGGTTTCAATTATTCATTATTTATTAAACAAGTGAAAAACAATCTTTAATTCTCCAGCACCTTCTGGAGAGGAACTGGACAAGCACTGCTGCCACAGCACACATGATCTGACTGATTTGCAATATACATTATGAATTAACTCCTCACAGTCCAGTGGGAACCCAGGCACAGCCTGATTCTCCAAGGTGGGAGTCTGACACAACCCCACAGCTCCTCTTCCTGGGGAGACACAGATGCTTTTGTGGCTCAGGTCCACAGGGCCCTTGAATTTGCTGGGTTGCTTCAGCCTCTCACGTACCAAAATACACGAGCACAACTCCAGAATGCAAAGTGAAGCAGTTCACTTCTCTGAAGGTGCTCACACTTCCACATTCCTGAAGACAGTAGAACTTTTCTCCTCTTCAGCTTGGCCACAACTAAAAAATGTTTTCAGAAATCTACTGAGTCATGTCTTGATCTCACTATAGGCTATTCCAGAGGCACCATTATTTCAGGAGTTCCTTGAGTCCTCAGAGTTTTTTCTCTGTAGTCTGGAGCTGCATGTCATGCTCATTCCTCAGGTCCAAGCTGCTCTTGGGTAACTGTAGAACTGATGGGGTCAAAACAAAGATCAGCACAGGTTTTTGGGCTCTGGAATTAATCCACACACAGTGTTGAGCATGCACAGGAGCAGATGGGCTGGGCAGGGGCTTTAGGTAGGGTTACTCAATTATGATTTTAGAGCCAGGCAAAGCAGGACAGTCAACAAAGACACTGAGCAGGGGAGTTGCACTGTACCAACTGCACTTATGCATTTAAAATAAATCCCTTTCAGCACTGAGCAAGATTTGAGGCATTAGCAACACATCTGCCTCAAAAACTCTTTACACATTAGGGCCTAATATCTCAGTATCAGCAAAAAAAAAAAAAAAAAAACAAAAAAACAGAGGGAAGTGTAGAGCTCTGTGAGGGGAAGGAACAGCCCTGTGTTGTGCCCTGGTACTGTGATGACTAAAGTGCAGATCAGAGGTAATGATGGTGTCACCCTCCATGAGGGGCTCGTGTGTTGGGGTGACCCCTGTGCCAGGGTGACCCAGGTGTGACCTTACCCTGCTGTGCCAGCCCTGCTTGGCCTCCTGCTGCTCCAGCTCCTCAAGGTGCTGCTGGGCTGATCCCTCCTGCTGCTCTTCCTCCTCTCTCAAGCTGTGCTCTGTCCCCTGCACAGGGAAGTCAGGTGAGATGGGGCAGCCTCAGCAGCCAGGTGTGTACTGGGGAGCTCAGCCTACCTGTGCCTGCAGCTCCCTCCTGTGGGCTCTCTGCTGTTCTTCCTCCTGCTCCTTCTCCCGACCAGTCCCTTCCTTGGCCTCCTCGAGTTCTTTGATCAGCTGCTCTCGATATTTAATGGACTCTTTTTGGGCCCTTCTGTTTAGCTCCATCTTCTCTTGGATCTGGCGCTGCCTGCCTGCAAGGACCTGTGCAAAGGATGGAGGAAGAAGATGGTTAAACACACCAGGAAACAAACCAGACAAGCAAAAAAATTCCACCCCAGCATGGAAGGCTCTGACTCTCCAGAGGGTGGTGGGTTACAAGTGGAATGATGGTTTCATTGAGCCAAGGGGGACACATCATCAACAGAGGTCATCCATCACCTCACTCATCAGGCGATCTCTGGCCACCTTCTCTCTTTCCCATTCTTCTTCCCTCTTCTCCCAGATTTTTCTTGCTTCTTCCCTAAAGGAGAGAGGAAGAATTATCTCTGAGATTAACTCCACAGGCACAGACAAGCTATCCTGTGCTTTAGAGGAGCACTTGGGTTTCTCTTCAGGTTTGGCCCGTGCCAGTTTGTGTGTCCATCCCACCTGTGCCTCTCAGTGACCCCCTGACCCAGAACATTCAGCACACATGGTGTGGACACATGGACTCTTCAGGTGAGGTTCAGAGGTAGACAGACTCACCTGAAGATAGTCTCAAGCTCTGCTTCCCTCTCCTTTTCCAGCTGGAGCTGTTCCTCGATGACCTTCTTCATCCAGGCCACATCTGCCACCGCCCGTCCCCGCCGCACGCTCTGCCAGCTCTGATCCTGCTCTTCTTTCTCCAGGAGAGCTGATAAGATTTGCCTGTCTGCCTCCTGGAGAAAAACCACGAGATTTACAACTATCCAAGAGCCTCCCAGCCTGCTTCCAGTGCTCCTCTAGGCATTACTGGTGACAGTGTCAAGGGTGTGCTCAGCACGATGCTCCATCTGCTGCTTCCCCGTCAGCTTTGTGCTCCTGCCCTGTGCACAAGCTGGAAGGGGCCCCCCAATCTATAGGAATAGGCAGACACAAACCACACACAACAAGTTTTTTCACCACACAGCATCTATAAAGTATAAATTAATCTCTTACCAGCTCCTCCTGTACCTGCTGCGCTCGTCTCCTTAACTGGACGTCACACTGATGCTTCAAGAAGCGACTGAAGGAGGAAAAAAAAGCAAAATTAAAAAATAAAACAACAGTATTTCAGTCACACTGACTCTAAAGCACCACATCGTTGTACAGCAGCACCTGGGGAGGTACATCTGTGACAATGAGGAACCTGCTACTAGAAACAAAAAGCAGTAACAGCACCAGTGCCTCTGCTCCTTGGCTGCTGTGGGCAAATCTGCCAAAACTCAGATATTTACATTCTACCACTGCTACTTGGAAAATCTCCTTGTGCCCCAAGTCCTGCTGTGGGCACAGGAACAGATTCTATCCAAAACAAGCTCCACTTGGTGTCCTACCCGAGCTCTTTCTTCCTTCGGTGCTCTTCCATTTGTTTCCTTTCTTCTTCCAAATTCTCCAGCTCCCACTGCTGCTTCAATAAATTCTCTTGTTCCTTTTTCAGCTTTGTTGCCTAAAAAGGAAAACACAAGCACTGAGAGCAAGAGTTCATCAGAGAGCATGCTTGACCAGAGTTTGTACCCTGTTCTGCTCTGCAGGCAGGGAAAACCCTCCCTGCAGTGCAAACATGGAGAGAAGAGGTCAGGTCAGCCCTGCTGTATTTCCAAGTGAAGCAATGAATTCCTTTCTCAAATGAGGAGAAAGTCAAGATTACCTTTGTCTCCTGCAGTTTCAGTTCTTCTATCTGCTGAAGCAAGGCCTTCTCCAGCTGAGGCTTCTCTTCCTCTTGTCTCGTTCTTTCCAGCGCTTCCCCTCGTGCAGTTTCATACTCATTTTCATGTTTCTTCTCTTCAAGTTTGGTCACCTCTTCCTTTCCCAAAGAAAAGGAAACAGCATTTCAGGTTAGCCTGACACAAAGAAACAACTTCTGGCTCAGAAAATCCACAAAGCAAGCTGGATGGCTTTGTTAACAGTGCCCTTCCTGGCACAAGTGTCACCCCTACACCCAGACACGCATTTCAGAGTCCTCCCAGTGACCAGAACACCAGGGCTGCCCCCATACCTTGTTTTGTTGTGTTAGCTGATCACCCCAAGCCTCCCTCATGTGCTTCCTCTGCTGCTCAGACTCTGCCTGGAGACACAACAGATGTAGCAGGGTCATCAGTGCCAGAGGTTCTGTCCCCCAGGATCTTCCAGACTCTCTGGAGCACCACTGAAATCCCAGGAGGATCTGCCTCTGGGCTCATCTGAGTGTCCAAGGTGCCCACCAGGTCCTGAGGGTCGCTGTCACATGGGAAACACCACAGTGACAGTGATACAGGACTGCAATGCTGCAGCAGCACATGGGTGGGATAAAGAATGAGGAAGCACCACAGCATGGCAGGTACAGCTGAGATAAAAACTTTTTTTTTTTGGTGTTATTTATATTTTATGTGCCTGAGATATTTACATTGTGAGCTCTGAAAATTTGCTCAGAGTCTGAACACATTTCTGGCTTTTAAAAATACAGCTTTGAGAGGGCTTCTTAAAATTATTTGAACTTAAACTCTTTACTTCTTCTGTTTATCAGAACTTGAGGCAGTTGCTGTGATGCGAGATGAGTGACCACAGCAGAGCCATGATGACTTTCAAGTTAAAAACCGGTTTAATGAATACAAGGCAGCAGGGACTCAGGAGAAAGCAACATCACCTCTCGGAGCTCCGCGTTGTTTTTGTTCCAGCGCTCCTGCAGCGGCGGCTCAGCAAACTGGGAACACAGAGCTGGGTCAGGTCAGGATACAGGACACAGGAGTGCTCGGCATCCCAAACCCCGCCGAGGCTGACAGGGGCTCAGGGCACCAAGCGGTGGCAACTCCAGCAAGTCCCGCTGGTACAGCTGAAGCACGGGAGCGGCCCTTCACCGGAGGAGCCCCGGGATGCGCGACGAGCACGGCCGGGCCGTTCCCTCACCTTCCTCCCGCACTCTCCGGGGCTGTCCCGCAGCTCCTGGCTCCGCAGCCCGCCCCGCCGCCGCTCCCGCAGCTCCGCCGCCAGCGCCTCCCGCTCCTCGCCCAGCAGCCGCCGCAGCCGCTCCCGCCGCCGCTCCAGCCGCGCCGCCGCCTCCTCCGCGTCCCGCCGCGCCGCCGCCGCGCTGCCGCACACACCGGGGGTCAGCGGCATCCCCGCAGCGCCCCGGCACCCGCCGGACCGCGGCCCTACCTGGGCGGGGGGACGCGGGGCTGGCTCCACCGCGCCTGCAGGGAGCAGCAGGCGGCGGCGCGGGCGAAGGCGCGGCTGGTGCTCTCCCACTGCTGCCGGCTGCGCTCCTGCAGCTCCCGCCGCTCGGCCGCCCTGCGCTCCGGGCCGCGGCTCCGCCGCAGCCACAGCGACATCGCACCGCGCCCGCCCGCGACGGCGCCCGCCGAGGGACACGGCGAGACGGGCTCCGCGAGCACGGAGGGAGGCGGGGACCGACGGAGGGAGGCGGGGAGAGAGGGAGGGTCGGGAGATGGAGCGGCGGCGGGGGATCGGTTCGCTCCGGCCCGGCGGTGCCGCCGCGCCCCGAGCGAGCGCTCGCAGGATGTGCGGATACAGCCCGGGCCCGGCTCGGAGCGCGCAGCAGCGCGGGGTTTGTGGCGCTGTAAATATTTCAGGGGTTAAAGGTTTCTGATTCTGCCCGCCTTGGCAGGGCACCAGCGCGGCGCCGCCCGCAGCGAACCCAAGCGGACCGGCCGCTGAGTGACCCGGGACAGCCCGGGCACCGCCGGCGGGGCTGCGGGCATCCCGGGATGGCTCCGGGCAACCCGAAGTGAGAGCTGGATATCCCAGGACAGGCTCCCAGCACCCTGGGCTGGGCTCAGGGCACCGCAGAACTGGTCCTGGCACCCCGGGAGGGGCTTCAAGCGTCCCGGGAGGGCTCCGGGCATCTCTCAGGCGGGCTCCGGGCACCACGGCAGCCTGGCAGCGGGGAGGGAGGCGGCACCAGCCGGCAGCCCCCGCCGGGGACCCGCACCCGCCCTGCCAGGCACAGATCGCTATCGCCCCACGACCTGTTTTTCCAGCATAACCGGTAAAAACACCATATCTGGGGCCCTGTCACAGGCAGGTCCGCTCCCCACGCAGCGGACGGGCTGAGCCTCCCTCCGCTCCCACCTCTTCATCACCTCCCCGTGTCCCCGCTCGGTGTCATTTTCCCACCCAACCCCTCACTGAGGTGTGTCATCACTCCCGCGCGTTGAGGTTTGTTTTCCATCTGTTCCCTATAAAATATTTATCTCCCGTGAATAATTAACGCCGGCCCGCCCGGCGCTCGGAACGCCGCCCGGGCAGCGCACGGCCCCGGGCACGGCCAGGCCCCGAGTCTGAGGGGGCGATGGGGGTGTGGTCTCCTCCTTGGGATGAAAGTCCCGCCCTCCTCCTCTCCGACCAATGGCTGCGCACCGGCCGTACGGCTGATGTGCAGCCATTGGTCGGAGCGGCGGGGGGCGGAGCGTGGCGTGGGCGCGCTGCCGGGTCGGCCCCCGCCGCCTCAGAGCCCCCTCAGCCGGGGAGCGGTGAGGGGGAAAGGGGGAGAGGAGTGCTGGTCATGGCGCTGCTGCTGGAGCACGAGTTCAAGCCGCTGCCGGCTGATAAACAGATCGAGACTTTGCCCTTCCTGGAGGCCGTGGCGCACCTGCCGCCGTTCTTCGGTGAGACCGGGGTGGCCGGGGCTGGGAGATGCGGGCTGGGACCAGGCCTGCTGCGGGCTCAGCCGCTCGGGGTGCCCCCTCCCCAGTTCTGGGTGGTGCCCCCCTACCTGATCCAGGGCTCACGCCGGGCTTGGCTGCTCTGCCAGAGCCGGGGTTGCATCACGATCCTGTCAAACCCGCCGAGCAGCCCCGCTGGGAAGCGTCCTGCCGTCCCCTGGAGCGCCCGATGCAGAGGCATCGCCCGGGGCTGCCATCCCACCCATGGATCCCACCCCGTGCCGGGACACGGGTGGGTGTCGGCGTGGCCGCCCTCGTGGCACGATGTGCCCGCTGCCCTCCACAATGTCAGCTATTGTGTGGCAGCCCCGGAAGGGCAGGACGTGGGGCTGCCTGCCTGTGGATGGGCAGCGTCCGGTGCCGGTCAGGCTGTTCCAGGATGTTTTGCCAGGGCTGTGTCCCGGGGCCAGGGGGATTGGAGGTCGCTGGTGGGGCCGCAGTAGGTGCCCACCTACTGGCAGGGCTGTCCCAAGGACCAACAGCCGTGTATGAAGCTCTGAGATTCCTTTCTAGTCTCAGACTCAGTGCCCGGGCTGTGCTTAAAGTGAAACCTGTTGGTTTCAGGAAGTCTGTGGTGTCCCCTGTGTCACCAATGTCTAACTGTCCTCCCTCTTTGTCTCCACAGATTGCCTGGGGACTCCCATCGTCTACTCGCCAGTCAAAGCAGACCTGACTGGAAATATCAAGGTAGGAAGGGACTCGGGAGGGCTCAGAGAGGAGAATCCCTGGGGAGAGATGCTGTGGGACTGGAGGTGTTTCAAAAGGCTTTTCTTCCCACGGGGACTTTGGGCTCAGCAGTGGCTCACCCGGTCACAGGTTTATTCCCAGAGCTGCTGCCCAAAGTCCCTGCTCCTGGGTGCCAATCCCCTTTTCTGCCCTCAGAAAATCCGGGCGGTTTATGACTCCAACCCTGCCAAGTTCAAAACGCTGCAGAACATCCTGGAGGTGGAGAAGGAGCTGCACGGCTCAGCCTGGCCCAGGACAGGCGCGACGCTGGCGCTGATGTGGTTGAAAAGGTGACTCACGGCGTCGGGAGCTGCTCCTGCTGTGTCCCGGCATGTGGGGAGCTGGAGAGCTCCGAATGGAGGCTGTGTGTGCTGGGCTGGTCCCTGTGGGCTGGGCAGCTGGCACTGGGGTGCTGTGTGTGGGGAGCACAGCTGTTGGGAACGCCCTCCTCAAATCTCCACCCTGGGAACGCACAGGGGAGTTCAAGCTCAGAGCATGAGCCCGCAAATTGGACAGGTCAGGACCCTGCGGTGCCTGGAGGATCCACGGGGCTGCACCTGACCCTGCCCAGCTCCTGGCCTCACCTGGGGATCCATCCTGCCCTGGGGGCTCCATGCAGCCCTCCTCTCTCTCTTCCCTGGATGGACACACAGGGGCAGGCACCAGCTCTGCAAGAGGGATGCACTGATGGGACTGTGGGGTTTTGGGATGCTTGGAAACACCAGGCTGGAAGCGGGGAAGCAGAACCCACTTCCCTGAGCCCAACATCTCTGCTCTTCTCCCAGGGGTCTGAAATTCATTCTGGTGTTGCTGCAGAGCATCTCTGACGGGGAGAGGGATGAGGAGCATCCCAACCTCATCCGGGTGAACGCCTTGAAGGCTTACGAGATCGCGCTGAAGAAATACCACGGCTGGATGCTGCAGAAGCTCTTCACGGTGAGCATTCCCTCCCTCTCCAAGCATCCAAACACCATCCCTAAAGCTGCTCCTGTGCACTGACAAGTGTCCAGAGACCCCACAGCGTTGGCACATAGCAACAGCCCAACCCATGGTCTCTGTTGTGGGGGTCAAACACCCTCTCCATGTTTTATAGGGCTCGGTCTATGCTCTTCCCTACAAATCCGATTTGCTGAAGGCCTTGGAGAAGGGTAAAGAAGTCAAGGAAGAGGAAAGCATAGAAAAAATCCACCAGTTTCTCACGAGGGTCACTCCAATCCTGGATGCAATTTATGAGATGTACACGAAGATGAACGCTGAGCTGAGCTACAAAGCCTAAAGCTGGCACAGGATTGGCACAGATTAAATAACATGTGATGGGTGTTACCTATGTCTTCATCACTGAGGCAGCTGGGGCGGCTCCCAGCTCTCCGGTGGCTTCGATTCCTGTCTGGATCTGCAGTGGATAATGTCTTTTCTAACCAAAAAATAACAGTAATTAACTTTCTATTAAGAATACGGCAATAAAACAATTGTGGGTGTCACCCTTGGATTTCCCAAGAGGAAGAACAAGTGTTTCTAGTCCCAACTCCTGGATTCCTGTCTTCAGTGGGGCAGGGAATGAAGTGTCCTGCTGATGAATGAAGTGGCACTCGGACTGTGCCTGGAACCCACCGACGGGCACCTCGTGTTGATTGCCACTGGATTGTCAGGAATGATGCCCATGGAGGAGGAGCTGATGACTTTCCTGGGTGATCCCAACTCCTCCAGTGCTGGCGTGGGATCAAATCCCTGTGCTGGGATTCAGAAACCAGGGACTGTCCCCGTGGTGTTTGCGGTGCCTTATGAGCCCCAGGAGCAGCAATTAATAAAAACTGACAGTACCCGTGGCCTGGGAGCCTCATTTGGGGCTGTGTCAGCCCCAAAGGGTGTTTGGGGAGACTGTTTTAGGGGAGGTGTTTTGGGGCTGTTCCTGGCAGGGCTGTTTTGGGTGGGGAGATTCGGGTTTTTTTTTTTTCCTAGTGGAGCCGTTTCCAGGAGAGTTTTGAGGAGGGTGTTTTGGAGCTGTTCCTGAGAGGCTGTTTTGGAGCTGTACCCTGGGAGAGCTGTTTATGGGAGGGTTTTTGGAGCTGTTCCTTGGGAGGGCTGTGCCAGAGACGTTTTTCCTGGGGGCTTATTTTTTGGAAGGTATTTTGGGGCTGTCCCTTCTGGGCTGGTTTGTGGCCGGTGTTCCCGGGAGAGTGCCCGGGGGCGGGCGGGGGCCGATCCCGAGGGCGGGTCCCGGTGGCGCCTCCGCCGCTGGAGCCGGAGCCGGGGCGGGGAGGGGCCGCGCTGGGGACCGGCCCCGGGCGACTCGGCGGCGCCGGAGCCTACGGGACTTTCCACGGGACCTTTGGCGGTACGGAACCGGGGGAGCGGGCAGCGGGGGGCACGACCGGGAGTGGGACGGGCCGGGACGCGGGCACCGGGGGCTGGATGGAGCCTCCGGTGCGGGGACACGGAAACGGGCAGGATGGAACTCTCCGGGCAGCACACGGGGACTGGGACAGGACGGAGACCCCAGGTGAGGCCGGGGTCGAGGGCTGAGCTGGGCAGGGCCAGGTGGACCCTCGTGGATGCCCCGGCACTGTCCGGACAGCCTGGGGGCTCAGGAGATTGGGGTGCGGGTGGGTTCCCAGGCAGAGCTTTGAGGAGGGGGCTCCCACCGGCTCCGAACCCCCCCTGCTGCCCACACCGAGCTCCTGCTGTTGCCGAGGTGAGCGATTTTGGGGAGCAGCTGCATCACTCGGGATGAGCATTTCCGACTAGAACCCGCTGTGGTTTCAGGGATTCACTCCCACCGGATCACCCTTTAATGTCATGGGACACCCTCGCTGCCACCCACCCATAGATGTCCCCGCACATCCCGGTGTTGGTGACAGCGTCCGTGCTCCCGTGGTGGGCAGGAGCGGGCACTGACTGGGGACACTGGTCCAACTGGGAGGTACCTTGGTGGGAAGCTGGGAAGAGGTGGGAGCACAGGTGGGGTTTGTGTTGGATGCGAGAGCTGTGCCTTGACTCGGTTATTCCATGAGGTGAGGAAGTTTGAAAAATCCAAACCCAAATAATGAAGGGGCCAAATCAAAGCCCTGTGACAGCACCTTTCCTGGCAGCACCCGGGCTGACGCCACCAGCCCTGAGTCCCTCATTTCCCACACAAGCTTCAAGCTGTCACCTTCACCCGGTGACAGCAGGCGTGGGTCATCCCGTGCCGTGTCCAGGTTTTCCCTAAAGCTGCACTTTTCCGGGTCCCAGCACAGGTTGGACAGGTCAGGTGCTCCGTCCCCATTCCCAGCCCGCAGGGTCCGTGTGCTTGGCAATTCCCTCTCCTCCCTTGTCCAAGGTCAAACCAGCCATCCGAGGGCCCCTGTCTGCATGGGTTCGGGATGTGGGACCTGCGGGCTTTGGCAGGTGCTTGTGGAATTTCTTGCAGAGACGGGGATGGCAGGAAAGTCAGCAAAGAGGAGAAACTGTCAGCTCTGTGTCCCCTAGGGATGCACTGTCTTTTCTGGGTGTCCCCCAGCCCCACTGGCTGTCCCCAAGGGTGGCAGGGAGAAGGGACCACTGCCTGAGCCCCCTCCCTGTCCCTGCAGGATTTGGGGCCGTTTGCCACCCTCATCCCCCGTGCCCACGGGAGCCCCGCGTGGCTGCCAGGACCCTCTGCCTCACTCGAGCCCTGTCCTGACAGAGCCCAGCCTGCCACTGTGGCTTGTCGCACAGAGCTTCAGCCCAGCACAAAATGACACGTTTCCCGCTGCTTTTTCCGTCCCGGGAGGGCTGAGCTCCCCGCGGGCGGGAGCTGTGCTGAGCCCTAACGCTGCTGGGTTTCGCCGCAGGGTTTTGGTGGGAAGCGGGGCTGGGGGAGTGCCTGGGGTCGGTCACCTGTCCGTGTCCCGGACGTGGCGGGCAGGACGCGGTGACACGGTACAGTGCTCTGCTGGCCGCGCTGAAGGCACGTCTCTCCTTTATCTCCCTCTGGGCAACCCAAACCCGCAATTTCTTGTCCCAGCCGCTGCTCCTGCCCTCCCGCCGGCTGCAGCCCCCCCCCCGTGCCGCGCCCGTCCCCTCCCGGTGCCCCGATCCGGGTCCCACCGAGCCCCCCCGGGTTGTGGAGCATCAGGAGCAGCCCTGGCCCCGCTCCCAGCCCTGCTGCGGTGGCAGCTCCTGCTGCCTCTGGGCGCTTCCCTGGACGCTTCCTTGGATGTGGGGAGTATCCCAAGGAATGTTTTCTTTCCTTGGGCGGCAGATCGCAGCGCACAGGGTCTGCTCTGTGCCCTGTCCTGGGCTGCACCCCGGCTGACCGCAGCGGGGCCGGGCTCGCCCTCGCCCAGCAGGGCAGCGCCGCAGCCGGAGGGGCCCCCGCAGACGTGAGGGGTCCCCGCAGCGGGTAGGTGGGTGCCGAGGAGAGCCGGGACAAGGCAGGACCGTCCGGGAGACTCTGAGCTACAGCGGGTCCTGCCGGCCCCAGCCTCTGCCAGGGTGGGTGTGGGACCTGTCCCGCCGCGGGGCTCGGAGACCCGGGGCTCGGATGGGGAGGGTGTTTTGGGGCTGACACGGGGTTTTCCGCTGCCAGGTCTCCTGCTCTCGTGGAAGGAGCCGGGGGTCACAGCCAGCCAGGCAGGTCGGTCGTGCCCGTCCCTCCGGGCAGGGGCCATGGCAGACAGCGAGGACGCCCCGCGCGATGCCGGGGAGGGCGCGGGGGAGGACGGCTCCCTCCAGAACGAATCCTTCCCGCTCTCCTCTCTGGCCAACCTGTTCGAGAGCGAGGACACCCCGAGCCCCGCCGAGGCAGCCCGGGGTCCCCCCGGCGCCGGGGATGGAAAGCAAAACCTCCGCATGAAATTCCACGGGGCCTTTCGGAAAGGCGCCCCGAAGCCCATGGAACTGCTGGAGGCCACCATCTACGAGTCCCCCGTGGTCCCCGCGCCCAAGAAAGCCCCCATGGACTCCCTGTTCGACTACGGCACCTACCGCCACCACCCCAGCGAGAACAAGCGCTGGCGCAGGAGGGTTGCGGAGTGAGTATGGGACCCCCGCGGGGTGCTGGGATGGGGACACCCGGTGGGGATGTTCAGCTGGGGACACCCGGGTGAGGATGGGGACGTTCAGCCGGGGACAGCCGGGTGGGGATGGGGATGTTCTGTTTGGGACACTCCGGTGGGGATGGGGATGGGGATGTTCAGTTGGGGACACCCGGGTGGGGATGGGGATTTTCTGTTTGGGACATCCGGGTGGGGATGGGGATATTCAGCTGGGGACAGCCCGGTGGGGATGGGGATGTTTAGTTGGGGACAGCCCGGTGGGGATGGGGATGTTCTGTTTGGGACACTCCGGTGGGGATGGGGACGTTCAGTTGGGGACACCCCGGTGGGGATGGGGATGTTCAGTAGCAGGGGACGTGGGCGAACCTCCTCCGAGCTGCATTTTCGGGCGCTTTGGGCAGACGGAGCAGCTCCCAGCGAGTCCCCAGTGCCATGCCGTGGTGGGGCTCCGCAGCCCCCGGTACCGCGGAGCTCGCTCCCCTTCCCCCTTGCGGGAGCCATGAAAGAGGCTCTGTGCGCCCGGCCGCTCCCCTGGCCGGTGCGGCCGTCTGGCTGCGGCATGAAAGGGCTTTTCAGGAGGGCCTCCGCCCTGCCCGCGCCAGGAAACCGGAGCCGGGGGGGGCAGCCCGCGGCCGGACGCACAATGCCCCTCTGTGCCGGGCACCTGGGGCGGCCCGCCAGTGTCCCCACCCAGGGGTGCAACCGGCTTAGGAGAGCGGGATGTTCCCCGTGGAGGTGGTTGGAGGGGCCCAGGATGCTCCATGAGCCCACATACTGGAAGTCCCCGGCTGGGGCAGCCGCCAAAAGTCCTGCCTCCATTCCCGGTGCCCGGAGCTGCCCCCGGTCCATCCCCCCCCCGCCCTGCTGCCGACTGCTCCGACCGGTCTGGCTTCACCCGTGGTGCCGGAGCGTGACAAACCCGCGGCCCGTCCCTCCCGGGGGGCACAGCTGGGGGCCCCAAGCGCTGCAGCACCTGGGTGGGAGCTGGAAAGGCACCGGGAGCACTGGGCTGCTGTGGATGGGGAGGCTGCCCTGGCCTCACCGGTGACCCCGGCCGGGAGGTGTCCCCACGTCCCCAGTGGCTGAGCACCCTCAAGGTCGTCGCACAGGTGGGGAAAGCCGAGGCAGCGGCTCCTGCTGCCAGCGCTGGCGTTTCTCCCGCAGGAAGCAGCCGCCCGCCGCAAAGGGACCGGCTCCCGACCCACCCCCCGTCCTCAAGGTCTTCAACAGACCCATCCTCTTCGACATCGTCTCCCGGGGGTCCCCGGCCGGCCTGGATGGGCTCCTCTCCTTCCTGCTCACCCACAAGAAGCGCCTGACAGACGAGGAGTTCCGAGGTGAGGACCTGGCTGTTCCCTGCCCTGGTGCCTCTGGCGATCCCTGTGTTCCTAGGGGATGGGGATGCACAGCTCTGGCATGGGGAGCCAGGGGCCTGAGGGGCTTGCCCTGGCCAACCCCCTCAGCACCCTCCACTCGCAG